ATATCATAAGTGTGGTAATTTTGTTTATTATGTGATACATGGATTAGACATAGCCATCCCTAACTTAGAGCTACTGACCAGAGGGAGGGGAACCAGTCAGTAGGATGTTCAGCATAAATATCTACTTTAAAACTTGTTTTACATACACAAACAGTATATTAGATTTAATACAAAGGCACGTTCAAAGAAATGATTTTTTGTCATTTCTAAGTAAAGCAATAGGTAATTGTTTTTACATCAAAGTAGCTGTCCATTACTGGTAGATCAAAAGAAATTCTAAAATGTGTAGTAACAGCAGTAACTCTTGGGTTCACTAATATAATAGTTACTTCTTACTAAATTATTGTTATAACACCCACTTTTTTAAAGCACAATGGGCTGTTTGCATTGTGCCAATTATGGGAATTGAATCCATGTTTTGCATTATAAACCTTCAAGTTTAGCACTGAGTCACAGGTGTGTTACACTTCACATTTTGAAACAGAAGAACGTTTTGTGCCATGTTTTATGTATGTAAATTTATTATTAGTTCTGCACAGATAGTTCATCCTGCATTTGGCTCTATACTTATGTATACTATGGTGCCTTTTTTGTTTACCTGCGATCCTGCAACGTTAAAGGAATACTGAGAACTTTGTTGAAATAGAGATTGAAAAACAGTTACATAAACAATGTGTTTCAAGAAAATTTTATTATTCTTTCTCGCTGATGTTGAAATTTTACAAAGAATGCAAACATGGTATATAATGTTCACACAAAACGACCACCTTGATGTTGTTAGTGTTGACAACATAATCTTGGCATCAACAATAATAGATTTATAATTCAAACAAACAATAAAAGCAACAAAAAAAGTGAGAGGAAATTAATGTCACTAGCACATGTTGGTGTTAGAATAAGGATATTACAATACATCTCAGAAATGTAACGGCTAGAGACGGCTTGAATGAGTAATGAAGAAAAACTTTAATATAAGTTTAACATAACAGCAAATGTACATTACCCATTCAAGCCATCTCCAGCCATTATTAGTCTCAAAGTGGGTTCCTTGTCATCGAATCTCAGAAATGTATTGTTTTGTTTTGTGTAAAGCTACTTAAGGGCTATCTGTCTAGTCATCCATAATTCTGAAATTTTTGTATATTTGTTATTAAGAACAAAGCTATACAATGGGCTATCTGTGCTGTACCCACCACAAGTATTTTTGAAGTGACAAATTAGAGGGAAGGCAGTTAATCAACACCACCTACAACCAACTCTTGGGCTACTCTTACCAACGAATAATTGGATTGATCATCACATTATAATGCTTCCATCATTGAAAGTGCAAGAATGTTCATTGATGGGATTTGAACCAAAAACCCAGAGGTTGTGATTTGAGTGTCATAACTGTATTGATGAATGCCAATTAAATTTTGCTGGGAGATTTGGCAAGTAATACATTTATCATCACCTTGGAAGGTGTAACAAACAAGTTAACTGAACATCAAACACTATTTTCATTAATAGTGATATCTGCTTAAATTTTTGAAAATAGACAAAATATTTCCTTAAACAAATCTGAATGTTCTTGCATGAAATACATTTTATATACAAAATTGGTTGCTACTATAACTACTTCATGAAGGAACTTCTTAATACACCTATGCTAATAAAAAAGATGTATCAATGTCAACTTCATGTAGAAATATTTTCTATTTCCATCAATACATTTCAAATACAATGAGAATGTATTAAAAATGCAGCCTCTAACAGATCATTTTTAAGGTAATAAAAAGCAAAGCTGGGAGAAAAAAACGCCTTAAAAACAGCTCTTTGTATTAAATAAACTTAGAAATGTTGCATGAAACTGATTTCATAAAGAAACAAAATAAAGCGAAAATAAAAACTTTCTGATAAATATGTAGATATAACATTGTACAGTATGAAGAAGCATAGATAAAAAGGGCACATGTTTGCAATTTCATGTACTAACCAATCCTCAGAAGTGTTTATACATAACTAAGGCATTATATATATCTAAACACACAGAAGTGTGTGTACAACATAACCCAAACACTAACATAAATAAGCACACAAATATCTAAAAACTGTAGATATACACTGGTCAATAAAAATTACAGAAACTTGAAATATTTCTTTTGTTTACTGAACATTACACATCAATAAAAGTTTACAAATTTAGTGTACCAATTAAACAAAAATAATGGCAGTAACACAACTCACACTCATTCAAACTCATCTAAAATTTACAAACTAACCTAAGGAGGGTATATGCTTTTATGCTCCCTTTTGTTTATATGTTAACAAATTACCCAATGCATATAAATGTAAATGCATATTTCAATAGCCTACCTTTATCATTCATAGGTAAATATTGCTACAGAATATTTATAAAAACATTTTAATTTTTATGTAAGAAAATAAAATGCTACTTCATGCCACAACTCCTTAACCTGATCTGGTATCTTTTGGAAAAACTGAATGTATTCAATAATTTCTAGTCACTCTGTTTGCAAATTTTTCAAATAAATATTGTACTTACCATGTAGTATTTCTTTGGGTTTCTCTTCACCTAATTTCATTTTTACATGCTTGACAAAAATATTTAACTTGAACAACAATTAAAACTTTTCACTGGTAACTTTTAGATCAGTTTGTACTTGTCATATGCTTCTTACATAAATAACAAGATACTTTTATAAATACACACAATATTTTTTTTTCCCAATGGTTAATTTTTTTCATCTACAAAACATCACATATGGATTAAAACTATATTGCTTCATAATTTACCAGTACTGGACTGATATCCTAAATTTCATACAGCACTTTTTACCTGTGAGCACGACACATTATATAAAACTACTGTATTTGTGATTGTAATATATACTTCAGAATTTCCCATCTCTTGTCAAAGACTTAGTAAGAACTCCAAAATGTTAAAAAATTTATAATCAGTAAAGAGAACTCAGATTTGAGAAAAATACAACATTGGGTCTAACAAGCTTTACAATAATGCATCAAATTTCCTACTAAGATCAATGGAGTCTGAAACATTATATATACATAAAACAATAGAAATTTACTCAAAACACTATCAATGAGGATGAGTATACTGTCTCATTCTCCTTTTTTATTTTAAATTAAGGTATAATTAACTTTTTCTTCCTCATAATTTTATATACTGTTTCCTATTCATGTTTCAAAATAGACACTTCAAACAAATTTAAATTATACTTTGAGATTCAAAGTATTTAATTTCATCACATACTTCTTTTCAATTTATGTTGAAATTTGCACTTTCTTTCTCAAAATGAGCAATTTTATCAATAAAGGCACAAGGTCATATATTTGTCACAAATTTAAGTTGAATAAAAACATGAGAATGAATAAGTTTAACATAACAGCAAATGTACAACGTTTTGACGAGGTTTTGTCATCATCAGGTTTTTCTTCATTACCCATTCAAGCCGTCTCCAGCCATTATTAGTCTCAAAGTGGGTTCCTCGTTATCGAAAATGAGCACCATAGCCTCACATTAATTTTAATTTGTGCACTAAACTGCATTTTAAAACACTTACTCAAGCAACTCTAATTTTGTTTTAAAAGTGCAATTAAAAACAATAATAAGTAAGTAATTGTATTAAGATTTGATTAAATAATTTAAGCAAGTTTAATTTTTGCACCTGCCATGAAAATTCTTTATGCAAAAGCTACAGTTACAGATACATCACCAAAATTAAATTCCCATTTATTACATTAAAATATTTTAACTTACTTAAATTCTACTGTTTATAAATAGTACCTTCTCCAATTACCATCCTTAGAATGTACAGGAAAAATGTTTCACATCTCAACAAAAATCTTGAAAACCTCAAACTGCTTTTCCAGACAAACAAAATTAATAAATGAGTTTTCTTTACAACAGTAATAATAAAGTTAGTCTTCAAAAGATAAATTACATGAAAAAATGAGCAAAACTGGTATTTTTTATAAAATTAATGGCTGGTAACATATTTAAATTTCAGGCATAACCACACACCCATATACAAATAACACTTGTAAGTACAGCTTAAGAATCTAATTCAATTAGCAAAAATATAATGTTTCAAATGCCCATAGCTTACAGCATATTTCTTACAAAAAAAACTCATATTCTTTTACAACATACCCCATAAAAAATTATTCCACCTTTATAATGTCAACAAACCTGTTTCATGAGATCAAGTCATATGCTTTATGACAATGATAATGAAAGAAAATATGGTTTTTAGAATGCTTTCAAGTGTTTCAGCTTCTCACCTGAAGTAAAAAAAAGAGCCATTAGGCAGATGTAAATATATTAGCTGATAAATAATGTTAACTTTTTAATTAAAAAAACATATTTGTAAATATGATGTTAATTACTGTCCAGGTTTCCTGTTAGAAGAAATAATAAATGTCTGTCAAAGGGTGGGGGAAAGGCAATAAAAGAAACGGGTTCCATGTTTAAAAAGCTTCCAACATCTGTAAATAGCAAAATTATTGGCTAATACAGCTAGTTAGTTAGTAGTATTTAATAATAAACTAATCATTGATCATATTAATCAATTACTACCGTGTTCCTCAAACCATGGTTTGTACAGTAATAATAATAATACAAAAAGGGTTAGAATTGGGTACTGCCAGACATTTGCCTTCCTTCTAGTGAGCAGTTCAAAATCAGTGATAGCAGAAGATAGCCTTAGTAGCTTTTCATAACAAAGACATGGCAAGTAAATTTGGTGACAATGGGAATTAAACCAGAGATTAGCACACACACACACACGCACACACCCACAGTCACCAAAACCGAACAAATTATAAGACTAAAATATACAAATTTCAGACAGCTCATTATGTAGCTTTGTATATCACAAACAAACAATCTTTATAGCAATACATCAGTTGGTTGTAATAATTTTAAAAAGTCTAATAACTGAAAACCCTAATTTTGAATAGTTGATTATTTTCATGAAAATCAATTGAATCATAATTTCTATTAGCTGATTACTTTTCTGGCAATCAATTTAAGCATAATTTTGATTGGAGTAAATTTAAAAACAGTAATAGTCAGAAACATTAATTTTGATCAACTGATTTAATCATGATTTTGATTAATCTACAAGTTTATGTGATACTAATTAATGTAACAGGCAATCAATTACTTGATTAAATCACTCAGCTCTATCAGCCAAACAACAAGTTCACCACCTGCACTGAATGTTGTATTCATGAACAAAGCTATTGTGAACTCTGACTTATTATGTATATTACCTGTACATGTTAAAAAAGACACGCTGTGCTACTGGTAAAACAACGACTCCTCAAGGTGGAAATATTGTAACATGGGAGCAGACATAGTGAAAATCATGGATGTTTCTGGAGGCAATTTAAAGAAACAGCTACATTTAACTTGTCTTACATTTACAATACATGATGCACTGTTTCCTACAGTGACAGAGAATAATTAGCCCACAGCACTAAGTGTAATGCAAAGCCTAGCAGTTGCCTAAGATACATGATTTAGGATACTCATCAAAACAACCTATAGTGTCATATTAACATGAGTGATAGTTTAGTGATTTTCCACTTTCTGTAGCTCAGACTGTAGTAATCCAAATTACCACACATTTTCAATGAATGTGCTCTACAGGACCCATACTTCACATACCAAATTACATGGCAATCCATAATGAAATACACAAGATATAAAATCTCCAATTTTGATTGAATTTCTTCCTATATTTTTTCTCTTTGCACCGAAAGTAAGGAAACTTTGGATAGAAAAACACACTTAAGTTTTATGGATTTTTTCAAATTTGGTACACTTTGCAACCTACAATTAGGTGTCAAATTTGGTCTAATAAGCAACATGAGCAAAGTTATTCAACAAAAAACACTCAATTTTGACCAACGTTTTTGCACACACCTACGCAAGAAGTCACATGAGCTATTGGTCTAAAATTTTTACTACAAGCTTCACCTAAGAGTGAAAGTGAACAGTTTTTGTCATTCAGATTAAAAATGGCTAATTTAGAGTAGCAAAACTATAGGTTGAAAGCACGTGCAGATACATAAGTATTGGTTAGGCCAAGCAAGCTAGATTAGCAGTTTCTAGTTCAAGTTTTCAAGAGAATAATACAGGTGGACGATTATTATTCATTATTCATTGCCAACTTTTAAGCATAAATTTGCTAAATTTTATTAAATTATCCTAATTACAGAGTGTTTAGCATCAAATGATACTAGCTTAAGCAATTAGTGTAAATAATGATGTTTGATACAGCTGTACTGAGTGTATTGGGTGTTGACAAAAACTTTTAATCTAGATTCTAGATTAGAGAGGAAAACTACCACCATGTATTTTAATAACTCTGGTTGTTTCTGTAAAGTATAGGTCTGTTCCGTATAATAGGATTGTGATCCTGAAGCTAATGTTGGTTACTATCGAGTGTCACTTTCTTACTTGCTATGGTCTGTTGGTGTGTATTAAGAAAAAGTCATGATATATATAATCAAAAGGTTTGAAAAAAGGTGCAACCAAAATTAACTGTTTTTCATTCAACTTGCGGCATGATGGTGGGTAAAACAAAATATGCATCCAAGCTAACTAATGAATGAATATTTGCTGTAAAATTCCTATCAATGCTATAAATGTAGCTGTCAATTTTGACTTCATTTCTTCAAGTCGTACATTCAATCCTTTTCTGGCTTCACCTTTTTTTCACCCCTAAGGTGTTTTTGATTATATTTTTACAAGCCAGTAATAGGATGTACAGAAGATCAAGTTACTGAAGGTAGGCAGGGTAAGATGGTGGATTACATACAAAATGGCACATCAAATTTAGATCACTAGGTTAGACTACAATTGTAGGATTTCAGAGCATGTTTTCATATAACTAAATGATGACAAGGGTGAGACAAGAGAAAAATGTCTCTTTACCAGGTAAAAAACAGGGGTGTTGTCATAAAATCATAATGGGTTTTAAGTACCAGTCTCTTTGTTGTACAATATGCAAGAAAATAAAAAAATCAAATTCACTATTAATCAAAGAAAGATAACATAAAAATATTTCCATAACATTCTAAATAATCCCATATAAACCTTTTGCAAAATGATATATCTATTTACATATTCAATTAAATTAATAGTAAGACACATTCTGAATAAGAGCTAATATTTTCAGATCAAACTTTCAATAACTAATTCAACAAGTTTTTAAGCCACTTTTCAAAAATGAAGGCTTATCTGTATTTTCAACTGATTTTAAGTCAGAAATTCTACATGAGAAAACTTAATTGAAAATATGTTATAGAAGATTACCAATTACTTACCAAATGTTTTCACAAATTTTCCAATATCCCGTACATTTCCACGTAGACATGAAGTTGTCTGTTCACTCTCTTTCACAAATTCTAGAACTCTTCGATCAAACAAACCTGTTATAGCAACAAAACCATAAAATCATCTAATTAAATACAAATAAGCATAAAAATTATTTTCTTACCAGCTTTGTCTTAGCACAGCAGAAGTTGTAATAGAGTGTTACTATTCTAAACAATAATTACACAAGAAGTATTAACACTATAAACCAGAGTTTCTCAAATGGTGGAATGTGACCTCCAAGAGGATTGTGAGCAGGTTTCCAGGGGGTCAAGAGCTGTCTGCACAGAGTCAAATTTCTTTGCAAGTCTTTGAGGTATCCGAGAGGTGCATATTTCTCCTTTGTTATGAACTATGATGAACTGCACCAAGAATCAATGTAGATATAATGGGGAGAGGGGGGGGGGTCACAATGACACAAAGCCCAGATGCAGGGGTTATCTGGCAAATCTGGCTGAGAAACTCTGCTATAAACAATCTACGAGAAATGTTGTCAGTGTAAATATTATCTCTAAAAAAATTGTTGCCACTACTACTAATAATTTCATTGCTCTTGGTAAACAATACATTATAAAAGTATAGTGTTTCACGTTTGAATTGTTGAGTTTAAACAATTATAAATGAAGCGTATAATACAAAGTTCGCTCTGTATTTTGCATCAAAAGTAACTTTAAAAAATGCTTTTCCTTTTTTTACTCAATGACTTACTCATATGATGTGGCTGATCCAACTGTTTTTCCCACAGTCTTTTCTTACACATCAGACTTTTTTGTTCTTCAACAAAGATATCAAACATTTGAGTTTCTGTAAACCACTGAAGAAACTTCTGGATGCTTCGAGAGGATAGACACTTACAGAAATAGTCTTTCTAAAAAACAAATCAATATACAGGATTCCAGGTCAAAATTAACAAAATACTATATTTTACACTTTTCTTCTAGAATACTTTTAACAGCAACACAAATTGTTTTTGAAGCATACCAGTAATGATTCCTCAATATGTACAAATTATATATATATGCATAAATGTTGGACTTTTCAAGTGATTTTTGCTGTTCCAGTAACTACATTCAAGAAACCAATGGACACAATGCTGTGAGATTTGGTACGTAGACCAATTTCACCATACAGAAGAAACTGTACACAGTCAAATATGTATGTGATAACATCATGATCACATTACATGGTACACATAAACATAAAAATTCTTTCGGGATGTTGACAATCCAACCAACAAAGTAATTTTGATTTTATGATTAAAAATACTTTTCTTCATCTGAAAATTGTCAAATTTCAATAATTTAATTAAAGATTTGCTCATGCATTTTTTCTTTTGGTATGTTGACAATCCAACCAACAAAGTAATTTTGATTTTATGATTAAAAATACTTTTCTTTATTTGAAAATTGTCAAATTTCATTTACAAAATCTCTATAACCTCTTAAATAATTATCAATTTTTTTAAAGAAAAGCTTTACATTTTATCTGTTATTTTCTCTATTTTATCTCTATACAGGGTTGGTTGATTTGACTGATCTTGTAACCATAAAAAATTAGGATATAAATCTATATTACTTTTTTTTCATTCTAGAATGACTGCAAGTTGTAACAGGAAACCACAAATGCTTATTTTAAATAGCTTAAATCTTGTAACAGTATACATCTTATATTTATTAATCTTTTGTTTTATTGACCTTCGAGCTGGGTCTGACTAACAATCCTGCTCACGTTACCATATCAAATAGCATAAAACTGGCCTTTACAAAGTACAAATGTCTTACTCTTTTTAATCTTAGTACTAGCATACCAGTATTTTGTAAAATATAATCACATTTTATTTACCATATATTACATTTGTGTGTGTATATTACTATTTACAAATAAATTCCAGTTATTTTTTCTTAAAATATAAAACAGTAACTAAAAAATATGTAGAAAACAATGATCTTTAACTACTTACAATGTTACAAAAGTTTTTAGTACTCGTGTGTCATACTTGCTAAGTCTTGTTGAATTTTGTATGTGGAGGAAGTAAAAATATTTTTTGAAAATTTTATATATGAATTTTGAAATAAAAATTATAAGTTACTATACCAATACCATAAAATTCCATGTAATTTATCAGGCTTCCAAACTAAGGCCTATTTGGGTCTAAAAAATATCATTTCCTATCAGCGTATTGCCTGGATCACTACTTTTGTAATTGCACGAGTACTTTGAAGAAGACTAACAGAATTACATAGTTGAAAATGAGCACTTTTGATTGGTTATAAACATGTAATTGAAAGAAGTGGGCGTAGGTAAACAAGTATTTTCAAAAGAGGAAGAAGCAGGTGGAGCCACTGTGGTAGGTTTGCTAAATATAATGATACCTCAGAAAATAGAAAAGGTAGGCGGTTAATATTTTATATTCTAGCTTGTCAATATTGAAAATATGAGTTTCTAATTTGTTAAAAACTGTAAACTTTACATTTTACGACACCCACAATACAATTTAAGAAATTAAGTAATGTATAATACTAAAATTTCAATTTGATTTCAAGCTTATGGACAAGCATAGATAAAATAGTAGTTCAATAAAATTTTGAATGTAAGTCTATAAAACGTGATGACATACACTTCAACCCACATTAAAAGGTTAAAGTATTTTAATACTTGTCTTAATCATTTTTACATCCAACAGTTAAGAGGTATAATGACAATTATACAACAATAGTTTTAAAAGTTGTAAAATATATGTTACACTTTCTCATCTTTAAAATGTTCCAAGATCTAACAGCAAAAAAAAAAACATATTTAAATGACCAGTTAAAACCCATATCAAAACCCAAAAAAAGAATCTTAAAATTGGCCTTACTACTCCACAAGGATTTTTATCTATTTAAGTGCTGTTTAGAAAAAATATTCCTAAAAACTTCAACACCTAAAACACCTATTGCATAATAATAATTTACCTGAAAAATTAGTTCTCCATTTTCTCCTTCTGTAATGCTGCTCTCAACGTGTCCAACTATTTCTACAAACATCCTTATAAAGGCTTCAGATATCATTACATCACGTAACATCTCTGTTGGATCTAAGATACAATATAACTGAGCATGTTAGTTTGATCTAACAAGGTAAAATATAACACTGTGTAGCATTTATGATGAATCTTTGAATCTTACAAGACAATATAATTACACCACGTAACCACCTCAGTCGCACTAACCACTAAAATATACAACCTGTATTATCACATCATAAAACATCTGCATTTGATCTAGCAGTGTACCTGTAACTGTTATCATTTGTATTTAAAAGGAAACCTGGTATAAATAAATAACAAACACAATATTTAAAGATCAAGGCACAAGTTTATTCAACTTTTTAGACTATGCTATAAATTAAGAACAGTAGATTCTGTCTTATAACAAAAAATTAGATTTGAGTTTATAAGTTAAATTTTCAAACATTATTGACCAAATTTTGAACTACAACCTTAAATCTACTAAAATGTTGCTTAGGTCTGACAACGAGTTGTTCAAAATCTAAGCTACGTAGCTTATTATGTAACACCTTGATTGTCTCTATTACAGTAAAATGTAGCAAGTATCAATCAGACTTAATATCAGCTATAAAGCATCTTGATTGTATTTAACAAAGTAAAATATATCTAATGATATATCACTGAGAAAAATATTATATTATGTAGCACCTTGGTTGTCTCTATTACAATAAAATGTAACAAGTATCATTATATGTTGTAAAATCTCAATCAGGTTTAATATCAGCTATAAAGATCACTTTATTCTATAAAAGGGAAATGTGAGTGGGGTGAACCAAGCTTAAGCAAACACCTTATAATCGGTTGGGTTTTAGTAAATCTGATCAACTGCTTGCAATAAATTTCACTGTTTCAAAAAAAGCCTCCAGTAAGATTTAAAAAAAAAGAACTTTCTAAAATATTCAAAATACTTGAAAAGGGTAGTTATAAATTAGAAGCATTACAATCAAATAAATCTCAAAATCTAAACATCTTTGAAAGATCTACCTTTTGAAATCACATAATTGGATCAGCAGTTTTCTTTAACCGTGATTCATTCAGGGCCACTGCTAGCGGAGGAGGAGAACCAAGTTCAAGCTAACACCCTCCATTCACCTATTTTAGATTTATTTTACATTTGTCCCCATTATGTCTCACTGGCTCCTCTAGTTAAGAAAAGCTAGTGCCAGAACTGGATTCATCCAATAAAATATTAATTTTTAAAACTGTTTATTTAACCCTGAAATAAACAGTTTATGAATGAATATATCATTTACTTGAAATGTATACCATTTGTACTTTAACTTGTAGAACTTAAAAATAAAATACCAAATCTCCCCTGAAGACTAAAAACTTGTAGAAATTTACTGTTTGATTGACTATCCTATAAATTTTTCTTTTATTTTAGCATATGTAAAAGCAATATAGTTAAGCAGAATTTATGTATTACAGTTGAACAGTAAAAATTTCATGTTCCTTCATAGTAACACATGTACATGTATTAGTTTTCTCAAATAATGAAAATTTTCAGGATAACACTGTAGACTGATACAAAACTCCCATAAACGAACATCTAAAACTGACCTGTGAAAATAATAGACCTCAGAAGTGTTACACTTAAATAAAAGATCACCTGTCATATTTTTTGCTAAACTTAAAGCCATTCTTAGAGCTTTTTGTATCCTTCCTGGAAGAATTGAGTCTTCATCCCCAACCTCTTGTAACAAGTTTGCCTGGTCTATGTCCACAACCAAAACCTATAGGAAAAGAAGGTTTATCACTAAAGTTATGAATATTTACTGGTACAAGTGTTCTACAAAGTACAACAAAATACTGTGACTCAGTCTTTCTAATGAATTAAGCAACTAACTATATTTGATGATTATAACTAATTACAAAATAAAAAACTTAAACATAATCACAAAAGATTAAGATTCAATAGCAGCTATTAACTTATAATTTGGATGTACTAAAATCAACAAAAAAAATAATAAAAGTTAACATTTTCTTACACCGAAAATGTATTTCTGATACTTAACTCCGCTCACACTATAGCTTTATCCCAACCAAACTTTCTCTTCTCTACCTATCTAAGCATTGGTATGAATCTTACCTCGCGTGCTCCAGCCTTTATACCCTACTTTATTGCCTAAAGCAAGTTAATCCTTGTGATTCTCTCCACCTAAGTCAATGCGCCCCCATACAAGATCCATATATAAGTTTCCTGTTATTACATCCTATTCACTATTTGAGACAGTCCAATTAACAGACCTGAAACTAGCCATTTCAGGGGGAGGAAGGGTGGGAGAGGAGGTAAGTATTATCAAAAATTAATTTTCAGTATAAATAAATGTTAACTTCCAAAACACACTTAATTTCTCTCACACTATAGCTAGATTCCCACACTGACAAGGGGCCAGTGAGGGAAAAAATCCACACAAAAAGCATCTGCATATATAAAAGTTATGCAAAAAGAGATATAGTAATAGCACACTAGTGGGGTCCACACTACTTCTGGAACAGATTTGCTCTTTGCCCGAACAACAGGAAACTTAATTTCTGGGTGGTAAGGGCCGACCAGCCACAGAGGTAAAACCCTAACATTGTCAGAAGAACATGAATTCATCCAGGTCCCAAACAGGCAGATTAGGTCCCATGTCTCATCATTGGAATTATAGGGCTGTGGACCCAAATTTCGTGGCTAGGGCATGAGAACTGCTTTGTATTTCTCCTGGTTTAGTAATGTGGTATTATTGGAACCCAACCTGAAAGTTACAGAATGTTGCATGTTGAGCCACCAGAATTACAAAGAGAAGGCAAGCAACACAAAAGTGGACAAACCCTCGCCCCAACCCGAAGAAGCTCAATGTGCAACAAAATGAACTCGGAATTGTGGAAACCTGTCATGCCTCACTCAACCTGAAGAAAGAGAGATTACCTGGCCTGGGATTATGACCCAAAATTCTAACTCCCCAACCTGAGACACAAGGCAACACCTCCTGCCCCAGAAATCATGAGGAGGATATTCTGCCATCGAGAAAAGTGATCAGGAAGTAATAGCAGGGAGCTTATATACAGATCTGGGATAGGGGACACACTGAGGTAAGTGGGGTATAAAGGCTGGAGCAAATGAGGTAAGATTCATAACAATGCTTAGATGGGCAGAGAAGAGAAACTGTCTTTGAAATAAAGCTATAGTGTGAAAGGAGGTAAGTGTATTTCAGAAATTAAATATGAATGACAACCACAGAGCACAATTTACCAACTTGATAAACGCTGTTCAATTTGCTTTTATTTCTTCAGTTAATTTCACACTAAAATAATGAAATACATATAAAAAAGTCAAACACTACAATTATGTTTTGAATCCTCCAAGCATGGTTTGGCTATATTACATGAGCTTCAAAATATTAATGTTTTACATACTAGAACTCTGATTTTACCAAGTGTATCTTAATGAAATTTGTCATACTTTAGTCAATATTATGGATTTGTTGCATACAAAAAATCCAAATTCTTAATGAGGTACTTCTATTGAAAAGTTTTCTGTGAATTTCTGACACCTTTAATGAGTTTATCTGAGTGTAAGGTGATTTTCATGCGAAGAATAAAAGTTTTTCCTTTCATCTTACAATTTCATATTTTATTTGCATAACCTCTAGAACCTTCTAAAAGAATATCAAGGTTTTGTAAGGGAAAAGTTTATATTTTATATGTTACTTTCTCTACCTTAATGTTAACTGTAACTAAATCACTAATGTAAAATGATATAAAATTTTTAAAATCATGAAATTAAATTAACAATACCTCTTTCCTTCTTCGAGTGAATTATACGTTGCCATATTTTCAATTTAATTTTCTTCAGAATTCCAGCTTTTCACATCTATTTTAATTTTCTAGTTTTATTGCCTAACTTGTAGGACATTTGTTTTTTTGTGCATGAAGAGCAACATGTCACAGTGGGAAAATTTTTATACATTTACATACTCACACATGCAGCTTTGGACTCGTGCACTCATTCTTACTTAACCCTATTTTTTTTTTTAAGTCTTTGTCAACAGAAAAATTAATTTACATTTCATATATGCATTTTGGAACATAAATAATTTAACTTTTTTTAAACTAAGCTATTTAAGGTAAACTACTACTACCACTCTTACAGCATCCAGGCCTATCAACCCTTGATTGCTCTCATGAAGTCTCTCCATCGACCTGTCCTATGCAGTCTCTTACCTTTCTTCATTCTCTATACCAACATCACAGGCATCTTTTACAACATTATCTCACCTAATGGTGTCCTACCTTGGGGTCTTCCAAACATAACGATCTTGGGCAGTCTATTGTCTTCCACTATGGCAACATACCCAGCCAATCTCATTATTCTTGCTTTTACAATATTTGTAATAGGAGTTAATCAACGGATATCAATCAACTCTTAGTAATGTCCTCTTCTCTATCTGTTCTCATCTGCATCATACACTGTCCCTAAAATTCTTTGTAAAAACCATATTCTAAGAAACCTTGACTGTCTTTTCTAAATATTTTGTAGGGTGACCATGCTATATCCACATAGAACAACCAATTTTATAACTATATTCTAGTTTTAGTTTTTCAGTTGACACTTCTTTTAAGCTCCAGAATCTTCTCTATATGCTTGCAATTCTATTTATCATCTCTGTTTTCATATAATTTAACTTTTTCTTAACTAAGTTATTTAAGGTAAATTGCTTTCCAGATACTTAAACTCATTCACATATTCAATATTAATGTTTATTATGCTCCTTTGTTCTCTAAGCTCATAACTTCTACATACTTTCATAATCTTTTTTTCCTCACGGCTAATCTCATCTTCTCAGCCATCTCTGTGAAAGACAGTGCTAATCCTGTAATCGCTTCTTTGCTGTCAGCCATAATATTTACATCACATAGACAATTATATCTATAATTTGATTTGGGTTATCCCTGATGCCTATGCAGAATTTCTCTTGCTGCTTTCTAATGCAATACTGAAGATCAATGGTGACAGGAAATGTTTGTGCAATAAACCACTCTCCACTTTGAAAGAAATGGTTTGATTTTTTACTATCTGCACCAAACTATTGCTCCTATTGTAACAAACTTTATCCAGTTTATTAGTTGATCTGGAATTCCAAACTCTTTCATGATCTTTCACAGAGTTGGCCTATGTATATAGTCATAGACCTGTTTCAATAAGTGCCAGTGTTCCTTACCATACTCCAACATTTTCTCTAAAATCTGCCTCATAAAAAAAATATTGGTACATATCTGATTTCTTGTCCTGCTTGATATTCTCCAATAACTTCATTAGTGTATTGCATTAGCCTTTAATAAATTATTATACACTGATGATAATAGATGCAATACCTCAATAACTCTTACATTCCAGTATATCCCCCCCCCCTTTTATTGGGATTAATAGAGCCATTTTCCAATAAGTAGGTATATTTTCTTCATTCCATATTTTATAATTCATATTTCTGTTCTATCATTATGTTGTCAACATTCTTAATCAGTTCAAATCATATATTATCTAATTCTGGAGCTTTATTACTATTTAAGGACTTTATACTCTCTTTCACTTCACTTAGGGTTAAGTTTTGTAAGTCTTCTTTTTCTTGATTTCCTTGCTCATTCTCAGTAAACTCAAGTCTATGTAGTGGTTCCCAGCTATTAAGTAATGATTCAAAACAGTTTTTCCATGTGTCCATGACTTCATTTTCATATATTTTTGTACTGCTATCAGCACCATTAATCATTGTAAGTCTTAGAATTTTCTGTAATGTTCTGATTCTTCTACAATTAACAGCTTTCTTTATTATTTTATCTAACATCACTCAATGTTTGTCTATCCTTCCTTCTCTTAATGGTCTTGGCTTTCCTGAATTTCAACTTGTACATTCCTTTCTTCATTATTTCTATCACTCATCTAATTCAGTTAGCAGATTTTCTCTCCTCTATGGTCTGTCTACGTTCATCATCAAACCATTATTTCCCTCTCTCTGGGTAGTAATATCCCAATACAACTTCTGCCAATTTCAAAGTAGTTTCCTTCAAATCTTCCCAATTCTGTGATGCTGCTGCTTACCTCTTCATCTCTGATAATTCTAAGCATTTTGACTTTATTTCTCAATTCCATTTGGAAATATTCCTTCACCCATTATTCAGTTTTTACACATCCATCCTTTTTGTTTTTTTATAGTGCTTATGTTTACTGACATTGAGCTTTTCCTTAGTTTTGGTTATTAAAATATGATGGTTATCACAGTCATCTCCTCTATATGCTCTAACATCTTCTAAGTTTTTCTAAACTTTATATTTATTAGCATATGGTCTACCTGGCAAATATACTCAAGTTCATTTATGAACTTTCTTGTGGGGGAAATAAATACCACCAATAATGAAGTTGTATCAAATGAGACCAGTCTCATTCCATTATCATTACTTTCCTCATGCATTCCTTTGTTTCCTATTGCCAATACAAGAATATCTACCTCTCTTCCTACTTTGGCACTGAAATCTCCTATTATCCAAAACATCCTTCAATTTTTCATAAAGTTCATCTTTACCTTTATGAATCTAATGTAGGAGCATATGCTCAGATTACTGTCATTTTAAATCATCTACATATTCTAATCTTGTAATTTCTTTTACCGATATTCACAAATTTTTCCAAATATTCTATAACTCTTTTTGAGAGACAGAACCCAACTCCATGGACATGTAACCTATCCATTCTGCTGTTATCATCCATTTTGCACTCTCCAGAGTCCACCCATCTGATCTTTTGTAGGGCTACAATATCTATCTTATATTTGTTGACCATTTCTATCATGTTCTTTGCATAGCCAACTCTGTTCAGACTCCTAACATTCCAAGTCTTAGGTGTGATCATATTCACTGCCCATGAAACTCGCCAATGATGGCAATAAAAATTCCAGCAATCCAAGACTCTGCTTGAGATTCATTAACTCTCTCTCTCTTGACAGACAGGTCAAAGAGCACGTCACAGCATTTTAAGTTATTTTCAAATTTTAATAGAAGAATTTTATCATCACCTTATGGGAATAAAATTGGCATCACAATGAAGTTTATAAATCAAATTTTAATTATTGTTCTAATTTCTTAATTAGAAAGAAAATATTTGAAAAAATTCTAAATGTGCTTTTTTGTGTGCCATATGGCATGTATTCTTGTCTCATCGCTCAGTTTATATTTTATTATGCCTACCATACAACATCTATAGTGGTTAAGGAATTAGAAACATAAACTTCAAATGCTACAAGCTAGAATACAAAATAAGAACTTCCATCTTTTTGATTTGCTGGGATATCAATATATTTTGCAAACCCACTAATCCATTCTTTAAAAACCTCTTGTCTACTCATGCCTACTTCTCTTAAGTACATGTTTATAAACAATAGAAAGAACACATTCCAAACTACATAAATCTGGCTTGAAGGTGAAAAAACTTGTATATGACTGGAAATTTTAAAGTCTATTGAAGTCTGAACAGAAGTGAGAATTTTTAAACCCAGATATAGCTTAGTTAGAAAGTCAGATAAATTACAGTGGTTTTATTGTACCAGTAATTTGATAATTTTTTTGGTTTTCCAAAATGCATCTTTGAAATTTACAAAAAATAATTTGTCATCCCCATCAACTTGAAAGAATAAACAAGGCTTACAGTGAGGCTTAGCACGTATGACATAAGTACAACTCAATTTTGTAACATCATAAGTACTAGAAATCATTGTTTTTCTATACAATTTTTACTTACTGTTCTATGTTTTATGAAAAGTAACTAAAAATTAAGCATTTATGAATCAATAGTAATAATATATATTTATACACATTTTCATAAATACTTATACAATTGGTATACCTATACTGCTAAGTTCTGACCACCCCAGGAGGATAACTAACAAACAAATACCTTACCAAGTATATTGGACTGGCCTAAACATTCACAGAGCCATATCATAAAACATTTTCTTGCACTTTTACTACTTTAAACAATTATTGTTGTAGCCACTGTGTTCTTGGAGCTGGGATTATGATAAACTCTGTGAGAAAGTTCTTGTAATTGTACCACACAAGCTCATTTGCTACCAACAGTGTCATGTAAACAGACTAACACCAAGAGCTTTATGGTTAGCAGGTTTCTACTTAAGCCACTAAAAATAGATTAATCATAGGAAATAAATGTGACAAAGAGGAAGTACTTTGGAATTTTGTGGTCAATAATAAAAAGGATAGAACAGTACTACTCACTTTAATTCACATTTTTAAGCCTTTAGAGTGTTCTGGTGGTTGCATGGGTGGTCAAATTAACTGACCTCACATAGAAAATGACAGATACAATATAATGTTTTGTCTGAAAAAACGTTTGACATTTATTTAGAAGATTTTCAGAGGAAGTATTTTCAACCTGAAAATGAAAATCGCTTTGAAATTGGAGCAGTCGACACTCTTGACTCCATATATTCATGGAAAATGTTTTAGTAAAAATCCTTAATTAAAAATTCTGTTGTTTTTTTTTTCCTACAAAATACTTGTAATGTTTACTAAAAGACTGAAAAAAATTGTGAAGATATACAATACATGTCAAAATGATAGTACAGAAACTCCAATGGTCACTTTGGGGTCACATGATCAGTGTAATCCAACGAGTCAGTAGCAAAAGTAAGATTTTTACAGAATAGAGTTATTAGCCCTATTCCAACCCTTTTCAATTTATCCAGATTTGGGAGCAGTATGGGTAAAATCAATCATTAAATGTTATGGGTATCAACTCGCATAACAACAAGTACCTAATAAAATCCTCTACAAGATAAACAATTATTAACATCAATTAAAAAAATGACTATTGGAAGCTTAAAGTTTAAAATAAGCTCTTTCTATCAGTTATGTTAAAAAGAGTACCTGGTTTTGAAAACTGCTTTTAAAGTTAAGTACAAAGTTAAGTTTTGTTGTAGGTTAAAGAAATTTATTTATTTTTCACTAAAAGTAGCAGTTTGCACACTGAACATGTACATTTGACTTTAGAAATGTTTATATATTATATCTAGGATAAATAAGACAGTGCATTTGCTATAATACTGAAGTTATATGAACTGAAAAAAGATACTTTAGAATGCAGATGCATCACATGACACACAGAAATGAAGTTTGAGAATATTTTAAAATAATTTCTTGAAAATTAATAAATTAAAACTTAGATAAGACAAACATTTCAATTATAAACTACACTGTTTTAGTTGCATGCATAGATGATAATTATTTTGTTAAATTTTAAATATAACTCTGTGAAACCTCAATACATGAGCAGAAGAGCCAAACCTGTACCAAGGGTGTTAAATAAACTCAAATACACTTAAGAAATGATCAAAATATTTAATTAAAATATTCTTACATTATTTTCCTTACTTGTAGACAAATCTAATGAAAATGTAAATGTAATACAAAGCAATTTATAACTCAAACAGAAAAAACAAACAATCCAAAGCTTCTACTAAAAAAAAAAAACAAACTGCAAGACAAATCGAACAAAATGATTTACAAATCTTATGATAGCAATGAATTGCAATCCTTGGCTCCTCATGATGTGCATTTCGTACCCCTGATGTGCATTAATGTCATTCTGAATTTTATAATCCATTTTACAAGATAATAATCAAGATATTGTTCATTAGTTCTGAATATTATTTGAGCACTATTGCTATACTCAAAATAAATTTTGAAAGAACAAAAGAAGTAGAATAGTCTTAAGCCAAATGGGAGATCACTGATTATGTTCAACTAACCTATTTATAAGCCCTTTCAGGGAAAAGACACAGGAAATATTTCACTTAAAGCATTAAATCATGAAATACTCTGTAAAGCAACCGACTAATCTGAAACTGGGTTGGTCAAACTCTGATTACTGATCCTCACAACCTAAATAAATTATTAGTGAAACTAATTTGACAAAATTAAGCTAGTCTATGACCCACTGCATCTCACAATCTAAAATAATTTGTTAATGAAACTGAATAACTTGACAAATCTGGACTAGTTTAACAGTGACCCACTGAGCCACACGATCAAAAACAATTTGTTAATAAAACTGACTAACTTGAAAAAACTGGACTAGTTTAACTGTGACCCACTGGGCCTCACAGCCTAAACAAGTTGTGGTAGGAAAGCTCAAAATGACATTCAGATATTAAAAAACAAACCTTATTATCAAGGATTTCCATCACTGTGTGGGCACTGCTACTCAGGACTCCTATCAGATAGGGAGTGGTTACACAACACTGGGCCAACAAGCATGTTGGCAAACATGGAATCACAAGATGTTGCCAGGAAAAGGGGTACAGCAATGACAAAACTGTTGTGATACTATCAAATAGTATGCTGGAAACAAAGCAAAAAAAAGGGAGAGAACTGACAATTTGAAGAAAAGCATGAAACTATCAGCAAACTGATTTAAATTAAGTTGTATAGTTAACAAAATTACTTTTCCAATTATTATTATTTAATTCTTGGCCGCTAATCTGCTGCCATCTTTAAGGTAAGTACTAGATGTGTTAGCAAGAGTTGGATTCAATCCTTAGTCTTCTTGCATAAAGGCAAATGTATATCATAGTCATCCAGGCTCACCAAATTGGGACTTGAATCAACTGTTTGAATTGTTTCAAGAGGGTTATCCAAGATTTGCTGGCTTCTGTTCAAGGTTGGTTGAATGTCCTTTCATTTCACCAGGTGTAGAAGGCTTCTCTTATTTTTTTTCTTCTGTTGTTGGTGAATATCTCATTGCTTTGGTATTAGTCCAATCTTGTGTCTATTGTTCTCATGAATTTTGACTTTTTGCTCTTTCTCCAAATTCACAAAGTGATGTCTTACATAAATGTAGGTGGTTTAATGTGCACAGACTGCTCTAAGACCCAAGATTTACTTAAATCAGCTACATTGATGAAACATTCATAATATGGTCACACACGCACTAAACAATTTTACAGGATTTATGAACTATCTGAACAGACATTATCCAAAATACTATTAACAATAAAAATTGAAGATAAAATCTTGCTTCTAAGTATAATAGTGATCAAGACACAAAATTCATATATCACAGGAATACTCCTTGTCTAGTGCATGTGGCCAAATTATGAACACAGGACACCTACAGATAAAGATAAGTATCTTAACTACAGATCAAACCATCCATACAGTGCAAAGGTGGGTCTGTCTAGTCTGCAGAATAAACAAGATATGAAAGATGCTAAAAAAGACTAAAGAAATGCATATCACTACAACCTTTCCTGACAAGGGATACCACAGAGATGGGGGATTAACTTGATTACCTATGAATTGATTAGTATCATACAAACTTATCAATTTAATCAAAATTACAAATAAATTGATTAACTCTTTCAGCATGGGCTTAGTCCCTGGAACCGACCTCGTAACCATTTTCTGCTTGTTATGGTTTTCATGCTATAACTTTTAAACTAGTAGGGAAATGTTAACGAAATTTGGCAGATTATCTGTAAACATTACAATGCTTTCATATGTAAAATATCAACTTCTTTATTAAGTCTTAAGGTTTGTAAAGCAATGTGTCTTTTTTTTCTTTTTGCATGTTGCCAATCTATCATGCAAAGTAATGTCCATTTTAAGATTAAAAATACTTTTATACATCAGTAAATTTTGAAATTTCACATATGACATCTTTATAATGTCCAGATAGTTATCAAAGGTTTCTTAAGAAAAAACTATATTTTATCTATTATTTTCAGTAATTAAAGTCTGTACAGGTTTGGTAGATTTGACCGATCTCGCAACACAAATTATAACATAAAAAAATAAATGTTTAGACTAAATAGCTTAAGTCTCATAACATTATACATTTATATATATATTTATTATATTGACCTTTGAGCTGTGCCTGGTTAACAATACAGAAGTTACAATGACGCAGGTCACGTGCACTCATGTTACTGTATCAAATAACATAAAACTGACCTTTGGTCTGTACAAAGTAACTTGTCTTGGCTGTGTTTTAGTAGACTATTATTTTACAAAATATAGTCACATTTCAATTATTATACATTATATGTGTATATAGATTATTGATCTTTTGAAATAAGTTCTTAAACTTATTTTTCTTAAAACAGTAAATAAAGAAGTAAAGCAAACAAAAGTTGCGACCTTTGTATTCGGTTGCTGCTTGATGTAGGTTGCTAAGCCTTTTAAAATTTGCACGTGGAGGATATGAAACAAAATATTTTTTTTAGGTTTTATATATACATTTGAATAACTAAAAAATCATAAATTACTACATTAATAGAAAAGAATTCCACTATAATTTATCAGACTAAAGACACACCCTACCTCCTTGAAATATTGGATGAACAGAACAAAATGGTGCCAAGCCCATTAAAATGGCTGAGAAAGCCACTAGGGGGACATTCTGAGCTTCTGATTGGTTATTTATGTCATATATAGAAGTAAATGTATATAAGGGAGTGTTTCTAAAAATGAAAAGTGGTGGGCAGGGTGCCAATTTGTTTGATTTATTACATGAGCAATATCTTAGCAAATTGAAAAGATAAGAGGTTCTTATTTTATACTCTAGCTAGAAAATATCAGTAATTTGAGTTTCTAATTCATACGAAACTACAAACTTAGTATTTTGACTTCACAAACATCTAATATGAACCAGTACTGCATTCAACATACTATGTGACACACAAAAATTGATGTTTATCTGTTTTTTAATATTTGCTTTTAAATTAAGAAAATGAATAATATATAGTACTAAAATTTGAATTATAATCTACAGTTTGATACCAAAGTTATTGACATAAATTCATGACATACAGTAGTTCAATAAAATTTTGAATGCGAGTCAACAAATGAGATAACCCGTGACCCATCTCAAAAGGGTTAGTGTCATTAAAATAATCAACTAATTGAAATCAGAGTTTCTGAATAATATCACTTTCAGTGATTACAATTATCCAAGTTATCAAACAATTGCCATTATGATTTTCTTTTTCAATTAATTCAAGTTTCTTCATCTTTGGTCCAGCATAGCCTGTTGATTAGTGTAGTTGCTTTATAATTCAAGAGTTGCAGGTCTGATTCACATTACCACCAAACTTGCTCATCTTTTCAGCCTTGGGTGTGATATAATTGCTTCTTTGTTTTTGAGTTATGGTAAAGCTATCTGCCACCATTTCCAATTTTGAACTGCCAACCAGAATAAAGGCAACTGACTGGCAGCATCCACCACCATGGGGCAAATACTTGTGAATTGATATTCTTTATCCACTCAACAATGCCAGCCTTTCAACCATATGATAAATTACAAATGTAAATGCACTAATCGATTTTCAACAAATAACAACAAAATAAATAAATTAATACAAAATTAAAATTTGCAAGTATCAGTCATTTTATTTATGGTAACAAAATAAAAACATAAGGTATGTATAAATTGTTTTCTACATCATACTTTATATCAAATAGAATATTATATAAATGTACTTCATGATTGAGTTTATAAATATATATGTTGCAATTGCAATATAGCCTTCACCATGTACAATTATAGATAAACATGTAATAAAAATAGTAATGTTTTGGTTCACTTCCCACTGGAATATTGCTATATAACTAGATACCTATGAAAACCTTATTCTTCTTAACCTCTTAAATAGTGAACATGTGTCCTTAAACATGTGTTGATAAGTTTATTGTCCCTTTGTACATTCAAAATACACCTGCTTGACCACCTACATGTAAATTTGTATGTTCTGTTCACAGTCATATGCTTATTGGCCTCAGTATGGTTGTATTTACGTAAAATTGTAAACTAAATACCCAGAACTAAATTTATGTAATTTACGTTTACCTGTACTTACTAATAGTCTCACTAGTCACTGTCATGTTTAGCATTTTTCTGATTTATAAACAAGTGTCACAAAGTTTTTTGTTCTTATTCCAGCTTGTTACAGTTTTCAATGCATATATGGTATATTCTCATGTACATAAGTTTAGGATTAAAAATTAACTTAGTCCTAAGTTGTTGTGTCTGAAGATGCCTGTCATATTAAACAAAGGGTAGTTCAAATGTCTGTTAAGAAAGGAGAAATCTTACATGAAAATAATCAATGAGCTTAATGTAATCAATTAAAAGGCTTGAGAATTAATCAATAAGTAAATTCCACTAATCACTCAGCTCTAACCCTGGATGCCAAGTAGAATAAAAACACCAGGGATAAGCAGGGTAAAAATGAATGACACAGTCATTCTCCTGAATCAAAATTCTCTCTGAAAACACACAGAGAATATGTAAATAGCATAAAATCTTAGTAGTATACAGAAGCTGTAACACAAGGAAATTGCAAGTATTACATACCACATTCCTTAAAAACCCAATGGAGAGTAAAAACACCATTTATAACAGAGAAGAAATTCATATAATAACATGGAATAACATTAAAATAATGGGATATGACACACATACACAAGAATAATAAAAACAAAGGAAGCCATCTAGATCTAATTTACTGTTAATACATACTGCAAGCCTAGCACGGGAAGCAGCAAAGGCAACATACCCCTTTTAAAGTCATTAAGATAATTGATTTAAGTTCCAATAGGAAGGGAATATAGATAATTGAATAGCATTTATTCCTTTTTACCACAAAGACCCATGATTGAATACTGTATTCTGCCTATACATACAGTCCTTCTCAAGTCTCACTGAAGATGGCAGCAGTTTAGTAATAAGAGCTGGGTAATCATTTAAGTCACTGGTCAAGCCAAGAATTAAATACCTGATCACTACAACCTTACCACACATACACACACTAAGATACTGTTTAATTAATTCTTATGGTCAACAAAACTGGTCAACTGATTAATTAATTTATAAATGACATTGTCAAATTATGTGCTGTGACCAAACAAAATTGATGAAAAGCAGAAAACAAGTATTATATTTAGTTTGTTTGGGTTTTTTTTATGAGAAAGTGATGTTTATTTTTAACATTATTTAACATAAAAATTTGGTATTTTTTAAAAATTAGAATATAATTCAAACCCTTTTATGAACTTGGGAAAACAAATCTTTTGTCAAATCTCAAAGCTCTTAACAATTTTGTGAAACTTACAAAGCTGTTTGAGAAACTTCTGAGAGCTTTACTCCTACATACATGATTTTTCTTTTTCATGTTTTTAAAAAGGTTGTGCTAATCATCAAAATTTTACTTGTAAAAGAATTTTATGTTACTGGAAACAAGCTTCTGAATTATGATAAAACAATTAACTAGTGGGAATCATCATGTTTATTTTAACAATAAGAAATACATAGAAAAATAACTTATGAAATAATAATTTCAGTAATTATTTAGTGATGTAATACAAAAATAAAAATATATATAAAAAAATATATATTTCATGACCTTGCTGGGAAATTTTACGCCTCCAAAAAAATATGTGCAGAAAATTATTAAAATGAGAGCACAGAACAAATTTTTTAACAATGAATAATTCCTTATTTTGGTAGAGCTTTAAATTTAAATTAGGTTCTCTATTACTCCCTTTTTTCAAACTTTACATGGTAACATACAGCAAAACATAAGGTATTAAAATTTTAAAAATTCACTTTATCTTTACAACGTTTAACCCTATATACATGGGGTTGGTCCATTGGACAAGGTCCATGTTGGAGAATTAATGTTTACTGTAAATTCTGGAATTCTGAATTTACTTAAAGTATCTTCACAAAAGGTGGTTAGCTTTGAGTAAACATTACAAGTATGTTATATACAAAAGTCAGAATTTTTCAAGTATATCTATATAAGATTTGTCTGAATGTACTTTATTTGGTCTGACTTTAACTCTGACTAGTATTAGTGCAAGGTGATTTTCGTGTTAAGAATGAAAATATTTTTTTCATCTTAAAGTTTTCATATTTTATTTACATGACCTTTAGTACACCCTAAATGAATATTTCAAGTTTTTTGTCAGTAAAACTTTATATTTTTTTATCTATTATTTTCTCTACAGTCTTGGTCCATTTGACTGACCTTGTAACCACCACATAAAAAATAGTAGTAGTAGTAAATCTAAATTTACCCTTTCTCCTTTCTAGAATAACTGCAGATTGTAAAACAAAATTACAATTACTTATCCTAAACAGACTCAAGCTCATAACAGTTTAGATCTGTTTTCATTTAATTTCACTGTTTTATTGCTCTTCGTACCATGTCTCAATACCACAATTAACAATAAAATGACTCAGCATTAGCGTTGAGAGCAGATTACATTTTTACTTAACTTTTATAAGTTTTAATCTAGCCTAGTACACTTTAGTTACTTTTGTTAAAATATACATCAATAAATAATAAATATACATAAAAATAAGAAAGTTATTACTTACTTCAAGTCTGAAGCATTTTACTCTGAAAAGCCACACTTCATTAATTACAAATTTTTCTCACTATGTTGGTTGTTCAAAAAATAATCCATGTAGCTTGCATATATGCATTTCAAAACAAAAAGTAATTCATACAGTAAAACAGAATGCCACAAAACTACTATAGTTTACCTGGCTTTCTAAATGACCTATAAAAAGGTCTAAAGTTTTCATTTCTTATCAGAGCCTCAACTTTGATCTTCTCTGAATAAATTCTGCTTTGGAAATGGTGTCGTTTATCAAAATAAATAAACATAATTACATAGTTAACAAACTACATTTTTATGCTAAGTTTAATGACATACATTGATATTAAAGTTCTTCAGTTAGATTTTGAATATAACTCTGTAAAAGTCATGGCATTCACACTTTCACCCGTAAATCTAAATGGTTAAAAAATACTCAACCACTTTAGGCACAAAAACTATATCACAGAATGTTGGAAAAAATCACCTGGTAGATTGACTGAAAAATAACACCCTACGTTCCAATAACTGAGATGCCATAACTTTTAACAGCAAGTCAACATCCAGAAGCTGGAGTAAACTTGTCAATTTTCCCTGTAGATAAAAAAAATACAACATGAAATTTTCCTATAATTGGTATAATGCAGCATAAACACTCACTGGTAAGAACAAAATACAACATAAACTCTTCCTTTACAGAACATCAATTTTTCCCTGTACAACACCACAAAACATACTACAGCATCAAATATTCCCAGTGAACATAATAAGGCATCAACTCTTCAAACAAAGATCATTATACATCATTAACACTCACTAGTAATAACAAAATACATCATCATCTCTTCTTATACAGAAAACAGCATTAATTCTTCCTGTACTGAATGTACTACAGCTTTAACTCTTCCCTTAGAGAATATGATACATTCTCAATTCTTCTTACATAGAATATAGTATACCATTAACTCTTCCTGTACATAACATATCACAGCATTAACTATTTCCTTAGAGAACATAATACAGAATCAACTCTTCCTATACAGAATCCTATAGAACATCATTTCTCCCTGTATAAACCACATATGAGTATTGAATCTCCATGTAGAGAAAACATTGCAGTATTAATTCTCACTGTAAGGAACTTCATGTTACATCTGCTCTTGTCTCCAATAACAACAGATAACATATTTAATAAAACTTCTTTGTAAAGAACATAATACAACATCAATTCTCCTCCAAATGAATACAATACAACAATCCCTCTTCTTGAAGAAAACATAGTACAATATCAATTTTCCCTATAAAGTAAATAATGAATTGCTAGATTCCTGTGTAGATAGCATAATGCAGCATAAACTTTCTTTGTATGGTTTACATACAAGTCTTTTCAAAATTTAACAAGTTTTGTGGTTAACAACTTATGTGCCAAGTTAAAATGCCTTGTATTGGTAAAGCTTCTTGAGATACGAAATATTTGTACACTTAAATTAATAAATTAAACAGCACTTGTGCATAGCTGAAATATTAAAAATGGGCATACAATGTTGAATCACTGCATAATAAAATCAGCTATACTGAAAACATGAAACAGCCCTAAAAACCTCAGCATGTTTTGACACTCTAAGCTGCCATAATCAGGAGTATAAGTTAAAATCAGGTATTGACTTAAAAACCTACATCACTTTTAAGTTACACTAGACCACCCGTGACCCGTTGGGTCACCCACCATTCAGAGGTTATGAAGAATTCAAGCTAATTTCAATATTGCTCCGAAATGAAGGTTTATTTGAGATAATTTAATTAAATATTTCAATTCATTCGTGTTATTCATAATTCAAGAAAAGATATTTGATTTTTGATCGGGAGTAAAAGGAAAGACCATTTCAGTTCTCAGGTATTGTGATGAATTAGTGCATTATGTTGTGGTCTTTCCTCTTAAACCTTCTACAAATAAGAAACAGTAACACTTTATTTTTCTTCGAATTACCTACCATAACCAAAGCACATCATTGAGAAATTCTTCAGACCTTGTTTTTGTCATCTTATGCCTTTTAAAGAAGATGGGAACATTGACATGGAAATAGATTTGAACAAAGAAGTTTCGTAAAGAGTGCGAATGGTAGTGTGATGTAAAATTACTCATGCTAGAAATTTTTATAAAAGTAACCCTAAAAACGGCACTAACTCAGTAACCCGTGGCACGATGAAGTTTCGTAAAGAGCATGAATGGTGGTGTGATGTAATATTACTCATGCTAGAAATTTTCATAAAAGTGACCCGAAAAATGGCGTTAACTCGGTAACCCGTGGCCCAATTTTAACTAAACTTGTTTTATTCTGTTTCTATTCTCATTTCATTACAAATATGGTACTACTGTGTGCTGTTTTGCTGTATTTAATTACAGACAAGCAAACAAACAATCTCAGCATTTTATAACTATATAGATAAACTTATGGTTAGAAAAGCAGATAATAAGTTATGAAATCATAACTGTATAATTTACACTTAAGATTGAATTAGAACTGTCACACTCATTAAAAAACATTGGTAGTATCATGACTGCCAAGGAAGACAAAGAAGTCAAGTCATGATGGTAAGATTTAAAAAGTTGCTAGAGAATGGTTCTAATGAACAAATAGAAAAGAATTATACTACTGTGGTACATAACAGTTAAAATGGTGGAAAAAACTGTATCAATTTGACATTTTACCCAGGTTTTATGTACTACCAAAAGTCCATAAATTTGTTAATTCATTTTGTCTGATTATTCCATTTACAGGTAAAGTTCAAAAATGTTCATTCACAACTAATTCCCATTAGTACATAGTATGAAATTCATTTGCCCTTGTGAATGACATAAAGGGATAAATCAGGAATCAACAGATAAAGTAGCATGTTTTGCTGCTGTGTGTCGGTTCACAATGTGCTGATTGAAGAGGCAATTTGTTGTCTTGAGAATATATTAACAGCAAGCAAGTTTTCCTTGTTATAAGTGAGTGAAATTATTAAGTTGACCACTGAGCATGTGCCAAATGCATATTTTAAAGAGATAAATTCTTGAACCCTTACGAGGGTTAAAGGCCTCATCAATGTGTTTCCCATGGGAATCAAGCTTGGACTGAAAGTGAAATTGACAATTGTCTTTACAGAAAATAACGTAACATAATATGCATTTGATAGATGCAAACCTTGGCTTTCTATTGGTTATAAATCATGTAGTATTCAATGGCAAGAAGAACTATTGGCAATTTCTGAAAGAGGGGATGTAACAGGTGAGCATGGCAAGAGTGGTCTGGTTGTCTATTTTATGGCTCTGTAACCAAATAAGATTGAAAGTATAAAAATTATGCATTGCCCGAGTGATGAAAATATTATAATAATGAATTTATGTTGAATTTCGTACTTCTCGGAGGGGTGGTAAATAAATTAGAGAAGAAGAGATACCTAGAGAGCAAATGTCACAATTCTCACACTAGGGGATATCCTAGATTTTTTTTTTAATACTGCCTTATAAAATCAAGAATTTAAAACTTATATACTATTAAAATATGGATTATTAGCTACATTTGTATACTATATTTATTGTTATAACATGAATAAAAAGTAGTTTGATTAAATTTTGAATGTAACTCACTAAAACCTCATGATGTGCACAGAAAAAGATTTCCGTGGCAAGAGGGTTAAAATCGTTTTGAGAAAACTATTTTCAGTTGCCATTCCATCACACAACAAAGCATTTCACAAAAGAAATAATCTACACTTGTTGGACTTAAGTATGACAGTGCATTTCTTATTTTGAAATTTTCAATTCAAACAAAATAATATTTTCATCTGTGCTGTGCTTGTTGCATTTCAGTTTTTTTCATTTATTGTTCTGTTTTTATTAGACATAATTATACTAAACAGCAAGAAATACAAGAGTTCAATTGAACAACAATTTCTGTAAAGGTTCACTCAATAACTCTCTGTCTGCAGATATTATTTCACTAAAGCAGTGAGTGATCTAACATACTTTGATGAGCAAACATAAAAACTTACATGAAACTTTGCATCTTCTAGTGGTCTAATCACAGAGATTTCCATCTGTTACGAAAACAAACCTTTTGAGATAATACAATAGCACTTGAGTGTATACATATATAAAAAATACAATAAAACAGCCATAATCCAGAATGTTGTAATACGTTCATATTTACTTAAAAAAATTGAATAATTAATTTACTTGTAATCTACCCCATAAAGCCTGTTTAACTCTAAAACATATACTAGCAGAAAATAAACAATGTAAATATATGGACAAATACATGTGACTGGTAATAGCACCTTTACAAAAGTAATACTTTCATATTTATACAAATATCATCCTAAAACTTACAGTATTTCTCACACAGTTTCTACTTTATAATTAATAACCATCTGTAGAAAAAAAAAAAGTACAAACAAAAAAAGGACAAGCCATAACATTTTTTGTTAAGATGTTGCTGAAAATAATCCTTTATGTATGTTATCATATTTTCACACTTACATACAAAATATAAAATACAAATCTCAGTTATTAATTGGTAAAATATTGACTTGAGTGATGAGATGTAATAGGTATTAAAAACTATACCAGGCTGGAGTGGCATAATATGCTTTGACACAAATTAGTGTCATGTGAAAAAAAAATATAAAATTTTTTTATACAAACTGTGAATGTAAATTTAAATAATTTATGACAATATCAGCATGCAATACAAACTAAGTAAACAGTAAAAACGAACTTGTAGAATCTTTGCAACACAATTTTCCGATTTCGCTGAAGATGGAATAAGTTATTCCGAAACGTTTGAACCTTGTAAATAAAATGTTTTATGTTTTATCAACCATCTTCATCTTCATTATTAAACTTCAGTTTTCCCATCATGAATCCATTGTTGGCAATAAATATTTGGAAATAACTATATTGGTGAATGCTAAAAATAGACAAGCTAACTAAGAAAAAAAATACTAAGCTAACAATCAAAAAGTACTATAAAGTTATTCATATAACCATAAAACTTTTAACTCTCCTATCACCCAATATCAAACAAACATGCATGGGCAACACGAGTTATGTATGTCATTTCTGGTTGTTTTAAAGTAAAGTGTGCAAAAAATATCACCTAATGATTAATTCTTAATTAATCATAATAAGAAACTGGACCAAATCACAACCATATTAATAGAAATTGGAACCTAATACAAATAAACTGTAGTTACATAACATACCATGTTAGTAATCAAAAGTTAAATCAATCTTATTACTTTTCAAATCTGAAGTTACTGTTCAATGTAGAGATATGGAGTTAATATATATTATAAAAGGAATTTCAATAAAAAAAATCTAATTTTCCCGAGAACATTAGTTTGTGACTGCATATAACATTCAATACATATAACTTCAAACAGCTTTGAAAATTCAGCTAATACTACATGGCATAAGATAATTTTGTCTTATTCTATAGTAACTGATCACATGTATTTGAGTTTTTAGTTCCTCTGAAGAAAATTCCACCTAACAAAATGTGAGAGGATATTATGTTTTGTTTGAGGAAGAATCATAGCTCTTTATTTCCCAAACAAACTACTCAAATAAGTTTACAAATTCCTGTAGGTAATACTTTGTAATTTATTTTCTTACTCAAAAACTGTAACACAAACAGGTATGTGAAAATAATCTTCCGATGTGAAAAGGCTAGTGAACAATTATGTCTTTTCTATTTTTGTTAATAGGTAGTGCATACATTAAAATACACTGAATTATATGGATGATGAAGATAAGCTCCTCTAGTAATAACCAGATGGCTTGACAAACTATTCCCCATACATCAGGATACACTTATATACATGGATGACAAAGATAAACTTCTCTATTAATAATCAGATGGCTAGACAAGCCCTTTCCTAAACATCAGAATAACATACTAAGCTGTGTGGATGACAAAACTAAGCTCCTCTATTAATAATCAGATGGCTAGACAAGCCCTTTCTTAAACATCAGAATAACATACTAAGCTGTGTGGATGATAGAAAATAAGCTCCTCTATTAACATTAGATGGCTAGAACAAGTCCCTTTCCTAAACATCAGAATAACATACTAAGCTGTGTAGG